CAGTACGTTGACTCATTAGAAAAAAATCTTAAGCTATTTTAGAATACGATATTATGTTATGAATAAAATCTGTTTAATCAATGGTCAGAAAAACGGTTATATCGTAGAGTAGCCCGGTTATAATAAGTCATTTGTGTGTTTACATTGAAAAAACTAATAAAAATGATTTAATATTATAAATCATAAAGTAATCGTTTCCTTATTAAAATTATTTTTTAATAAGGAAATTTTAAATTATTATTTAATAATTAAAATTTATAAATTCACAAAACATTTTAATTATTTACGTTACGCAACAATTTAAATTTATATATACAAAAATTATATTTGAAATATGTTTAAAGATAAAAATTAATAATATGTACTTACTTTGACTGTAGACTGCATTAGCAATAATTAACAATATAAATGTTCCTTTGAGCTTCATGTTTAAAATGTTCAGTTTTCCTTAAAATTCAATCTAGTGCGCCACCACTTGAATTCATTCACTTTCGATTATCGAGATCTGCCAAGATCAAACGCGATGCATCGATCAAACAAAATCATCCGCACAATGTTCATTGAATTACTGACATGTATAAATCATATTAATTATCGATAAAACAATACATTTCAGAAAAAAAAAGTATTAATTGAAATGAATTAGAATACGTCAAAAGATGAGAATGTAAAAGCTCGATTGTGAGCTTTCTTCGATAAAATGACTCTTCTCTTTCTTTCTCCTTTATTCTTTCTCTCTTGTTCCGTCCCTCTGAATAGTGTACCGTGAACCGAAGCGTACAGTACTTTCCACGAGTTTTACTGAGAAGGAACGTGATGAAATACTGTTTGATATTTTGTTTCTTCTTATAAACTTATTTATTTTAATTATAAATCTATTATAAATTGATCTTCACGATCACAATTGATAATTTAGGCACAAAAATTTCGGAGAAATTTCTTAGTATATTTTCTTCCTTTTTTAATGATTTATCAAAGAACTTCTATTTTGTAAGATAACAGTGATTAATTTTGTGTTAAAAATCACTTGATTCGTATTATGTCAAAGATTGAAACACTACGAAAAAAAGAGTTGAAATTAGAATCGAATATACGAAATAACCGCGAGCCACACCGTACCGCGGTTCGCAAACGAATGCCACTGAAGTTGCCGCTCTTCCGAATTCCGTGCCCACATAGGTGTGCGTGCGCCGTCTCCCTTCCACATGAATTTAGTTACCCCCACTAACGCACTGTTTCTTGGCTATGCGCACCATCTTCCCCCTGCTATGAATACACCACCGATGTGCAGCATTCGATTAGTAATGGGTCTGATCTAATTTCAAGCTTCTTCGATTTATAATCGCATTCAAAATAAAATTCAATTTTCCGTATTAAACGATTCTTTGGAAATAAGAAATAATACATTCTACATACGAATGTATTTTCAAAGAAATACGTGAGTAATAATTATTATTTATTATAACGCAAATTTATGTATAATTTAAAATGATTTAAAGAATATTCCAAAAGTATGATTTTGAGGTTAATCTTTAAAATTAGAAGATTATTTCATAAAGGCAAATCATGTTTTATTATAATAAATTTTTTTATAATTTTTAAAAGCATGTATTTAGAAAACAAGAATAACTATTTTGAGTAATGCATTTACACATGCGTGGCTAGCTTGATTCTGTTCCTACTTTTCCATCAGTCTCGAATCCGGTATATCCTCACTTCCTTTATCCCCACTGTATCTAACTGAGCGCGTGTGCAGTCGACGCGTCAATTATATCTGAATCGAAGACGATGTCTCATCCTAGTTATATTGCAAGGATGAAAGCATTCTGAATTTTCATTAATGAATTCATATTCAGATATATTTGCACTATTTTTCATCAATATGATCATAAAATAATTATAATCATAAATAATTATAATCAAATTTTAAATCTTAATATAATAGATAATAATTGCTCCATTTTTATTGTATATGTATGCACGTATTAATTATATAATAAATTTTTAGTAATAATCCAGTTATTATCTTGTGAGTATATTTATTAAAATTAGTAAATATTATATTTTTATATTTATTTTTTTATTGTTATTATTTATATTTTCTTTTTTTACATTCTTAATCTTTAATCTTTATTCGTTATTAAAATTTAATATAAATTAAATTAATTAAATATTTCCTTTTTAATTATTTTCCTAGTAACAATAATAATAATAATCTTTTATCTTTCATATTTCAGTTTTAAAGGAAAGAAGTCCAAAAATTCATCTATAATTAGCAGCAAGCTTATTGATTTTTCTATTTGAAAAAATAACGAAGTTGTGATATAATTTTGCAGTATTTCTCACAGCAAGCTCATAATATATGTTGTTTTATCATTAACTGCGAGAAATGCGAAGATTACAAGCATAGGATTCCGCGATTTATGAATGATTTGGAGGAGTGAATGAACGGGGTCGACGCATGCGCGCCACGATCCAGATTCCATTCCCATTCCAATCTTGTCTCTATTCTCTCTTTCTTTCTGCTGCACTCCAGTTCTGTGAACAGCTGTAGAATTCATAAAAAGATTTTTCTAATTGGGAAAATCTTTATCAAAGTTTCTCTACCATTATAGAAATGATATTAGTAAGAAAAAGAAAGCGTTTCTTTCATTGTTATGAAAATATTTACATAACTACATGGAAAGCAATCCAATCCAAAGTAAATCAAGCTTTTTGGTTTTACGATTTTACTTCATGACAAATATGAGTTTTCCAATCTGATAAGATCAGAATATTATATTATTTTTTTCTACATATTTTTCTCTTAATTAAATCATCATTTTTTTAAAAGTTTTATTTATTAAAGTTACGGATATAATATGAAATCAATAGTTTATATAATTTTCTTATAAACAAGAAAAAAAAGCATATGATTATTTTTGAAAACTCCACTTTCTGAAAATCATTATCTTTCAGACACAATTTTCTAAAAGATTTTCAAAATATTCATTTTCTTGTAAAGAACAATTTTTTTACAATGAAAGTAAGATTTTAGTTATATCTACAAATTTAAAAATTAAAAAATTACTTTTCATTCTTTTATTGTTATACAAATATATTTTTTTAATTATTATAGTATACTCTCGGAAAAGAGTATTTCTGATTCATATAATGCTCATAATAGCAAATTATTTTTCGATATAAGCTGAAAATTATAAGGTGAGAAAACCTCTGATTCAGTAAAATATTCAGTAAAATTATATGAATTTAATGTAGTAACATAACAATTGTAAAGATGTTGTCCAATTTATATATGAAAATTTTTTTTCCAATATAGTTTCAATAATGAAAAAAACGTGTAATTTTATTTTCGCATTTTTTTCAATAGTCTAAAAAAAAAAAGTAATTTAATAAGTAATTAATTTAATAAGTAAAAATCGTTTCAATGTTTGTGTAAGAAAGATAAAAAAATAAAACATTCTTGTCTATATGAATTTCATTATTCAAATTTCATGAATTTTTCTCTGTAAATTATAGTATTTTTAAAAATATTCTTTAATAATAAAATATACAAAAATGTAAAACTTGTAATTTAAAAAAAATACTAAAAGAGAATATTTTGTGATGAGAAAAATTATATCAAAAAAAATAATATGATAATTAATAATAAAAATATATCAGTGAGAAAATATATTAGTCAATTTAATTCATTTACTTTTTTTTTGCATTTCGCTATTCATTCTTAACTTTTATTGAAGATAGTTTGCTTTTATAAAACTGAATGAATGAAAGAACAAGTATTTTTCGAAATAATTTTCTTCCTTCATCCATAATGATTAATCCAAATACCCATAATTTTATTGATAATCTAATTCTTTAATTTTTAAAATAATTTAAATATTATTATGTAATTCAAAATTTAAATAAAACCAAAATTATTTTTTTTAAAATAAAAAAGAAAAACAAATAATATTGTTTATTAGATATTTTAATAAATTAGGTTTTTATTTTATATATATGAACTAGTTTTCTTTTTTTATTATATTTTGAGATATTTATGAAATACTTAATTCTCTTGCTATTTTATTTTCATTTCATGCACTAATTTCATTATAATTTTACAGTTAAGAAAAATTTTTTTTTAAAATACAAACTTTAACTATTATTTTAATTATAATCAAATATCAATTTTAATTTTTGTAACTTTACAAAAATTAACAAATATGATAATATTATCATACATCTTAAGTATACAAACTAATTATTAATATAATTACTTTGACATACTTTCAAAGTTATGTTTATTTAAACATAACTAAAATAGCAAAATTTTTATGAAAAATTCGAGGAAATGATTAATTAAGCTAATATGAAATATGATATACAGTAATATAATTTAATGAGACTAGGTCATGGTGAAGAATGCATCATAACATAACTATTAAAGAATTCTTCGCCTACATTAATTAAGAAGTTATTGTCAAATTAATAATGGCAGTATAGAGTAATCTTTTAATCATAATTGCAGCATTCTAATTAAATTTGGTCTCACGATAATTAAATGAAAAAAATTTGAGAACGTTCCATACTACAATATGTTAATATGTACATTTTTTTATTATATACGGAAATCAATTATTTTTTTGTTAAATTTTTTGTGAAAAAAATATTGAATTAATTATAACTTGTATTTCATTCATAATTATTAATATAAAAAATTATTATTAATATTATTAATATAATATAATATAATTATTATTAATATAAAGAAAAATGATTCTTATAGAAAGTATTAAATAAAAAAAATACCAATTAAAAATAGAATTTAATTTAAAATTATTTTAAAACTAATCTAAAAAATATATGTAATTTAATATATATAATTTTATATTTCATTATAATATGTCATGTATATATAAAATTATAACTATTATATTTAATTTATTATATTTAATAATAATTATAATATTAAATAATCAAATATGTTACCATTTTTTATTCTGCTTATTCTGCTTATGTTCTGCTTGAACATTTTATGTTCAAGAAAACATTATAACTTTTTCCATTCGTGGCAATCTTCATCATAGTGACAAGAAATCAGTAATGGTGAGTACTAATCATAAGTTCGTGGACAAACTTCTTAACGGCGGTCAATGTTTCTTATTATTAGTTCTTATTTTCTTTTTGATGAATAAATATCTTCAGCCATAATAAATCGAATGATGAACATTCAACGGCGATCGTCTATAGATATAAAAAAAAAATATCAGATATATTTTAACTAATTTTCAATTTTTTCACTTAAAAAGTAATAATATCGATGATCGATTGTCCTACAAATATCTGTCAAATATACAAAATTTATCCAATATCTGCAAAATTATATAGTTTTTCATAAGCTTTCGTTGTATAGCGATGAAACAAAATATTACGATAGAGCAACCTAAAACATTATTATATTTTTAATTTTAATTTGTAAAAATTAGTATTATTTTTCAGAGAATTCAAATATTAGAAATACAGCTGAGAAAAATAAATATTAAATACATATTTAATAAAATTCAATAGAATTTGGGCATTTAAAACATAAAACATATAACATAATTATATATTAGAAGTACAGAAATATTAAGAAAATTATTATTTTTTTTGAAAATTATAAATTTAATTTAATTTGGATATTTAAATTAGAGTTTGATACTTACTTTACTTATTTATTAATTTCAATTTTAATTCATTATAATTGCAATAAATATTCTTATAATTAGAAATTATAAAGAACTTCTCTTGTTTAAAATTTTACGAAACAATTATAAATATTATTAATATATAATGAAAAAACTATTAAAAAAAACATTAAAAATCGATGAAATTTCGAATTATTATTGTTATGAATTTAGTAAAAAGAATAAAAATTTCATAATAAATTAAGAAAACTATTTTTTTTCATAATAAAAAGCTGAACCGTATTTATTAATATATAGATATAATTAATTATATATAATCATAAATTATTTCTATTATTGTTCATATTTAAAATAAGAATACTTTAAAAATTTTATAAGAATATTTATCTATAATTATTCACATTTTAAATAATTGAAAGAATATTTCGAAAGAATCTATTTTTCGATACATTTAACTAATGCCAATCGTCAATAAAGCACTAGAATACTATTTAGTTACTAAATTTTGGTACTTTTAAATATTTGCATAAAAAGAAAATATTTAAAAAAAATATTAAAAAAATATCTAAATATTTTAAAACTATCTAAAATTGAATAATCATCTAATTTATATAAAAATTGTATTTAATATTAAAATTTAATATTTTTTAAAATGAATAAAAAATATATAAATCTAGAAATAATCCGATTTAAAAATTTCCAATTATGATTTAAAAAAATTAAAATTAAAAAATTAAGATAATTCAACATTTAAATAAATTTTTTTAAAATTCATATTTATAAAACGTTATTAATAATTATGAATAAAATCGTAATATAAAAGAAAAGAAGTTTCATTGTTATATGTTTGCTCAATACTGCGCAGTTTGAAAGGAATAATTAAATGGAGTGGCTTATGTATAAAAAATAAAACCTTTTATATATTTAGTCAATCAGATTACTATACAATGGAAAGTTTCGTTAGGATTGGCTGAAAGGGAAGAGCTACAAGTCAGTGTTCATAATAACTTTAAGTCCTATTCACATTGAACATTTTGTAATGCATGACTGAATTTCTCATAGTGTTTCTAGACGCATGTTCAACAACGACACATAATGAAGAACAGTTACGAATAGTTGCAAAGCGTCCTATCATAAGTACGAATTTCTCGGAAGTGAACGAATCAGAAAAATCGGTCCAGAGAGTAGGACACATTTGCTATATAATCCTCCATATTGCGCAGCGATATAATGCAAACGTACAGTTTTATGGAATTTCTTAACGAAAGATGCGAAACAGCTACCAGTGGTTAGTAGCAGTGCTGCCTTGTTCAGTCTATATGATATATATGATTCTGCGTACACAAGCAGTCAGTGTGGTGCATTCGGAATAATAAAATCGTTGATTGTCGATTCTTCTAATCCGTGAGCAGTGTTGTGTAGTGTCGCGTGAAGGTCGTGAACTTTTGCAAGATTATTCGAGAAGCTTGCAATCCGGAAGCACATTACGAAAGGAAAGGTTAAAAGGAAAGGTGGACGATCCTCCGCGAAAAGCCTCGGTAAAATGGCGGTGATCGGTACTCCGATTGGCGCTAAGCGATAGAAGAGGATCGCGCTCTATTCACGCTCGCTAAGTTTTGTTTTGATCTAGTTCGATATCTATTCTCACAGAAACCGGTCAATTCTTGTCATTTCAAATCATTCGGTTTGATTTCGTCGAATTCCATTTAGCATTGTGCGAAATTAAAACGGCGTCCCATTGACTGAAGATATATAATCTAGTCGAGGACGATCAAGGTGGTAAGAAACCACCGACGGAACGGTTTTCGACGGCCGTGATGCCGCATCGTTCCGACCTCGAATTTATCGAAAGGCCGAACGACAAGGACGACTCTATCAAATCCTTGTCGGCTTATCTATAGGTAAGTTTCGTGCCACGAGTGCATCTCTGCTTTCACCACTTTTATGTATTCTATAGTTCATTTTTTTATCGTTTTAACTCGTTATTCGGTATTATTTGTTATTTTCCAATATGATTTTAAAATTATTCACAAGTATTTTATCTTTGTTATTATTTTATGTTAGTCGCATACATTTAAGTTAGGTTAGGCTCTAGAAATTGATGACTCTGCATCTTAACGAGAATCGAGGCTGTTTTCGTTCCTATTGTCCTTCTAACGGTCGGAACTTCTAGAACATTAAAATTTACATTGCAACTGTATTGTATTTTTCCTAGAAAATTCCTTTGTTTACGTTGCTTTTTTTCCTTTTATAATCGATTATATGTTTCCTTATACAGATTCATTTAAATAACTATTCGCGCCGTCGACAGTACGTTTTGTCACGATTTGTCATGCTTTCAAGGCTTATCATGAGGTTTACGACGTCATTGTGTTGTTCTTTTTACGAATGTTGTGTTATAATTAACTATGTTCTAAATTAAAATTTTTTTTAATTCATATAAATTTGTATGATCTATGCCGTTTTATTAGTAAATTTTTTTATTAAATAATAATTAAAAAAATTATTGATTCAAAGATATATATATATACATATATGTATATATATTAATAACAATGATTTTATTTTAGTATCTGTTTTAAAAAACCATATGGAAAAATTTTGTAATCAACATAAAAATGATAAAGTGTTTTCTTTTATTTCATATTATTTTATTATTTTATTAAAACATTTAATTTAATAATCTAATGAATTTTATGATTTATATGGAATAATGATTTCGTAATAAAGATAATTTTTTTCGCAATAATTTTATTTCGCAATATAAAAAAAATTTGTGAAATAATATATAAATTTTCTAGGAAATTATTAAATAATATTCAAGAATATGAATTAAATTTTTAAAATATATTATATTTTTTAAATATATTCTATTAATATTATTATATTTATTGATTTTGAAATTCGTTGTTCATATTAAATAAGATTGCATAAACATTATATAAGTTATATTCTTTTATTCTTGATTTAATAATCTTTAAAAAATTTTAACAGTCAAATATAGAATAAAATTTATTAATATTTAATAATTATAAAAATGATTTTATTTATTAAAAATATAATAATTAATATAAGAAAAAAATTTATTATAGATTAATAAATTAAATTATCATATTTACATTTAATGAAAATTATATTAATTATTTTTATTAAATATATTGTAAAATAATGTTTCAGATTTTAAATTCTTGAAGAGAATCTATCTGTCAAAATGAAAATTGATCGCAATAGATTGAGAAAATATACATCAGAAGCGGTAAGTAATATTTTAATCATATTTTCTAAAAAAAAAATATTATACAATATACGCTAATATGTTAATTTCTACATGATTTAAATAAATTTTTAGCCTGCAAAATGTCAGGCGCTTATAAACAAGTTGCGCTCATGCTCCCATGCAGAATTGCTAGAGGAGCTAAAGCAAATAGATGCATGGACTTTTGGTAAATGTGAATTATTTCATTGGGTCGATGTATTGGATCTTAGTGACAGCATTTTGGAAGAAGCTGCTGCTAAAAGCCCAGACAATCCATGGGAATTGGCTTGTGATCTTCCTCAAAATAGAGAAGTACAATTGCTATATAATTTTATTTTTTTTATAGACTATTATTCTTAAAAATATATAAATATATTTATTCTATTACTTATAGGCAAAAGAACTTCTCCTTTGGGTTCTACATCTTACAACATTATTAATTGAACATTCATATTCACGACATTTATACAGCAGTATGGAACATCTAGTGACTTTATTATCAAGCTGTGACATGCATGTTGTCCTTGGTGTATTAAATATTCTCTACATGTTCAGTAAACGTAGCAATTTCATTGCACGTTTAAACAGTGACAAGAGACAAGCTTTATTAAGTAGACTTACTCTTTTAGCAGAGGTAAGATATGTACATTAATTGATGTATGTTATATTAATATATAAAAAACTTATAAAAGTTCTAAATGCAATTTTTATATTTTAGAGTTGGGGAGGTAAAGAAAATGGATTTGGTTTAGCAGAATGTTGTAAAGAATATCCAGACAAGGTAACATAAATTCTATAAATAATTATAATTCTTAAAAAAATATATTGCATTTTTTTTTTAATTTTTTTAGCCACTTCCAGCAAGTGCCACAACATTGCATTTCGAATTTTATGCAGAAAATTCAACGACAGATTCAAATGCTACATCAAACATTGGCACAAAAAAATCTGGACAGACGAATTTTGTAACATGTATACATATAGAAAATGTAGATAAACTGGGTAAAACACCAGCACAAATTATGAATGATTTGTTAAAAGTCAATAATGTACCCCAAGATCGACAGGTAAATTATATTTGTTTTAGTATTAATTTTGATATGTATTTAATACTTAATAAATATAATTTAATATATATAATAATTTAATTATATATATAATAATTTAATATATATAAATTATTATAATATATTTAATTATTTAATGAATGTATATATAAATATTTAGGTTTGTTATTTTTTTTTTTTAGATTGCGTTATTTACACATATAAGATTAGCACACAGTTTTTCTGACTATAGAAGACGATTACAATGTGTGCACGCTCGGCTGCAGGCATTATCAATACTTGTATATAATAGTGAACTAGAAGAAAATGCACATAGTTTGCTGCATCCTGGACTTTTAGAAGAATTAGTTGAATTACTGGAACTTCCACATGCACATCTTGT